TAGATGGGTGAGACGTCATGTGCGGGTGACGTTGCGACCTGGAAGCAATAAAAGCACTTGCGGTGAAACCGGCGTCAGCTTTTTGTCATTCAGCAAGCGCTCTGTGTGTGTGTGTTAGTCGCTATCTGTTTGTGAGTCTTATTTAGTGTTGTGTGTCCACTTATAAGCTCCATTATGCCAAGCTTCAGCAAAAAAAAGCATTTGGGCGAGAGCAGACAGCATTCAGGCTGTGTGTTCCTCCCTGCCCGCGCTATATTTTGAATGGGGACACACAGGAGGGAGCTGACTGCCCGCATGGCGAGTGTTTGTCACTGCCTTGCTTTGCTCTCGGAAGGCTCTCTTTGAAGAGCGAGCCTTCACTGGCGTTTCTCGCGGCGATGGCCCCGCTTTCGCCAAGATGGAGCGGCGACTGTGCTCGTAGGGTTCGCATATGGATCCGGTGGAGGGAATGTAGACGGGCGAGTCCCTATGTTCTTCCTCACCCACCAGATCCAGTGCCCGTGTCGGGGTTCGGAAGCCCGCGCTGCGGTTCTTTCCCCCGGTTAGAGGGCTTGACGCTCCGCCTGTCTTCCTCCGAGGAGGTTGATATGGAGGACGTCGTTACACAAGCATATTATGCCTAATATTATAATGAGCAGCTTTACTGTGGAGCGGAACTCGCGCAGTCAGCTCTCGGGAAAAACAGAGGGGGCTGATTGTGCTTTACCCGATGTTAAATGCTCCGCCCTTGCCGGGCACGTGATCTTGTGGTTACGGTCCCGCTGCTGCTGAGGCACGGCGGTGATTGAGATCGCGGGGATCGCACGTGATCTGGCTGAAGGTGGGAGACGGGCTCTCTCTATCTCCACCCGCATTCCCTAGATAGTGCTCTCTCTCGAGGTTCGGAAGCCCGCACTACGGTTTCTTCCCTCTCTGAGTGAGAGCTCGCTGCTGCACCCATCTTTCTCTGAGGAGATTGATATCGTTTGTGTGACCGAGCGGCTCGCGCGCTGCCGATGCAAGCTTAATTTGAAATTAATCTTATCACACCAGACCGTGTTTCCTTGTCTGGTTGTTGGCTGCATTTTATTATGAGGAATTAAAATGAAGTATTTCTTCTGATCATGAGAAGTTAGATATACAGGAGCTCTTGGGAATATATAAATAAATACATTTTCTCGAGTGAGAGCACGCGTTTACCTCTCTTCTGAGGTGGTCAACATTTTTCCAGCTCCTCATATAGGGAGTGTCACTTCTCGTACTCCTCAGAATTTAGAGTCAGAGTAGCGCTCCTTGGCCGAAAGTTTCTAGCAGAAGGCGGATCTGCGGACCGGCATTACCACTGGATAGTCTTCAGGTAAAACGTCCTGACGCCTAAGGCCCAGGACTTCTGAGGGCCGGACCCCTCTGGTGAAGAGCGGTGTACACCTCATTATACGGTGCCCGTCTCTCCTCAGTGCTCTCAGGAGATCGATCTGTCAACCCTGCCACCTACGGTGCTTCAGGGTGCAGCGGTCTCTGGCGAGCTCTTCTCTCAGTCACCGCCCGGAAGCGTAGCGGTACTAAAAGGCTCGCTACCGCTTCGGAGGTTTCTAGAGCAGCTAGTTCGGCCGTCTACTGCCTCTTTACCATTTCAGGGAACCGACCTAGCCGCGCTGATTACACCAGAGATCTCATTATTCATTATCTCAGTCTCGAGAGACTGATTCCCTTAGTAGACCTTTTTGGCAGTGTGGAAACTTCTGCCAAATGTGTCTCAGTGGGCCCTGCACACTGTAGAAAGAGGCTACAGAATCAGTTCGGTTCTTCTCCACCTCGTTTCAACGGGGTCATTCCCACTCTTTGGGGGCAAAAGCTTACCGGGTTCTTTCGTCGGCCTTGCACTCTCACCCCGCACTTTCACGAAGTGTGTGGATGCTGCTCTGTCTCCTCTGTGACTCCAGGGCATCCACATACTCAACCACATCGATGATTGGTTGATATTAGCTCAATCTGAGCATATGGCTGTTCGGCATTGAGATGTCATTCACGCTCACTTGTAAGAGCTGGGGTTTAGACTTAACGCCAAGAAAAGTGTGCTTTCTCCAGTACAGAGAACCACTTATCTGGATGTGGTGTGGGATTCGACCACAATGCAGGCATGTCTGTCTCCTGCTCAGTTCGAGTTGATCCTCACTGCAGTCGCGAGAGTGAGAGAAAGCCAGTTACTCACTGTCAGCAGTTCCAGAAACTGCTGGGTCTGATGGCAGCTGCGTCCACCGTGATACATTTTGACCTGCTGTACATGAGACCCCTACAGTGGTGGCTCAAGACCAAGGGGTTCTCCCTGAGGGGAAGCCCGCTCCACATGCTCAAGGTCACGCGGCGATGCCTACATACCTTAGACATGTGGAGTAACCTTGGTTCTTGTCTCAGGGCCCGGTGCTGGGAGCTTCATTTTGGCCAGGCTCAGGTGGACCTGTTTGCGACTCGAGAGACATCGCACTGTCCCCTCTGGTTCTCTCTGACTCATCCAGCTCCTCTCGGACTGGACGCTATGGTACAGACGTGGCCGAGGCTTCGTCTGTACGCCTTTTCCCCGATCGCTCTGCTCCCGGGAGTTCTGGAGAGAGTGTGCCGGGACAGGGTCTGTCTACTGTTGGTAGCCCCGTTATGGCCTGTCCGAGTATGGTTCTCGGACCTGATTTCCCTTCTTGATGGCTCTCCATGGGAGATTTCCGTCAGGAGGAATCTCCTCTCACAGGCGGAGGGTACTATCTTCACACCCGCCCGGAGCTGTGGAAGCATGGGTGTGGCCCCTGGGGGGGCACAACTCGCAGCTTCCTGTCTCTCAACCGAGGTTGTTGAGACCATTCTCCAATCTAGAACTCCCTCTACGAGGAAACTGTATGCCCTGAAGTGGAATCTTTTCACTTCTTGGTGCGGAGACCGCCAGCTCGACCCAGTTTACTGCCCAGTTGGTACAGTGCTGGAGTTCCTGCAGGCCCATTTCTCTGCAGTGTTGACCTACTCCACCTTTAAAGTCTACGTGTCGGTGGCTAGTCAGTGGGCAGACACCCCCTAGTTACATGTTTCCTCGACGGTGCGCTGAGGCTGAGGCTGAGGCCTCTGCCCAGAGAAACTTATGCTAAGTGGTGGATCAGGATGCTTTTTCATTTCGTCCTCTGATCTCCCCTCTCCTTTAGGGGACAAGACTCACTCCTTCTGAAGTTGGCCTTCGGGGGGGGGGAGGGGGGGCATCAACTCGCAGCTTCCTGTCTCTCAACCGAGGTTGTTGAGACCATTCTCCAATCTAGAACTCCCTCTACGAGGAAACTGTATGCCCTGAAGTGGAATCTTTTCACTTCTTGGTGCGGAGACCGCCAGCTCGACCCAGTTTACTGCCCAGTTGGTACAGTGCTGGAGTTCCTGCAGGCCCATTTCTCTGCAGTGTTGACCTACTCCACCTTTAAAGTCTACGTGTCGGTGGCCAGTCAGTGGGCAGACACCCCCTAGTTACATGTTTCCTCCACGGTGCGCTGAGGCTGAGGCTGAGGCCTCTGGCCAGAGAAACTTATGCTAAGTGGTGGATCAGGATGCTTTTTCATTTCGTCCTCTGATCTCCCCTCTCCTTTAGGGGACAAGACTCACTCCTTCTGAAGTTGGCCTTCGGGATGCTGTGGGATGTCCCCGCCTACTTTGTCAGGTGCCTTTCTGCATTCTGTGCCACTCCTGGCTCCTTTCTCTCGCCTTAGCTGTGCTCTTCCACACTAGGCAGGGATTTGTAAGTCTGGCTGCGTGGGCATACTTGTTCCCAAAGCATTTCCGACACAGCTCGAGTTCCTGAAGAGGAATATATCCAGGTTTCGAATATAACCATGGTTCCCCGAGGGAACGAGATGCTGCGTCTCAATGCCATACTTCCGGCATCCCTGTGAGCGCTTGCTTCATTCCTAGAAGCATGGTCACGCTGGTGGCGTTCCCAAAGCGTTTCTGCCGCAGCGTCTCGTTCCCTCGGGGAACCATGGTTACATTCGTCACTTGGAGACGTTTTGCCATCACTGTAATACATGGCATTTTAAAATATATTGAAATAGAAAACACTATTAAACTAAAACTATTTTACAATACTACTGTTTTTATTGTTTAAATCAATTAAACATAGCCTTGGTGAGCATTAGAGACTGAAAAACATGCAAAAATCTTACCGACCTAAAGAAAGAAAGAAAGAAAAAAAGAAAGCGGTGTTCTGAGTGGTTAGTAGGGCATTGCTGTGGTTTTTAGCCATTCAGAAGTCAATGGAGAATATTCCCATTCTAGTGTATTGATTTGACTCGAGTTCCTACTTGTATATACAATGTATATATATCTATATGTTTTTTTTGTCTCTTTTATTAAACACCAAGTGAGATTTAGGTGAAAACTGCAACTTAGAAAAGTAATAGCACACATCTTCTCAACAAGCCCCATTATTTGCATTATCAATCATGCTTGAAGAACAAACAGGTGGGATAAAGTATGCTCCAAAATAGGGTTTAGGGGTTTTGAAACCAGAACTACATTATGAGCTGTGGTGCTTGTGGAAGATTAAGGTTTGAATCCTGCATCTCCTCATTCCATTCCCCCTCTCTTCCTCCCCCATAACTTCCTGTCTGCTTTCTACTGTCTATAATACAACTTGCAAATATACCCCAAAATAAATAAATAAAAAACACTGTGAATACAGGGTTTAATATGAAACTAATTGAAATCTTGTGATGCATAAAATAGAACCATTTTTTTCCAGATTTCCATTTATTTGCATACTTAATTGCTTTGTTACAGTTAAATTATTTGGAAATTCCCCCAGAATTTCCCTTACTGACTGACTGATGACCTTCATAGGCATGACACATAAGGGAAACTACCTCATGGGCAAAAATATTTCTTTATGTATTGCTTGACTAAAGCACTTTTTTATTATTATTTCTGCTTTCTTTTTTACTTTCCCTAAGTGTAAATCAAACTGAATAAAACAAAAAAATCTATGAAAAACATCTTACCTTCCTTGTACGAAGCTTTACAAGGGAACCTTCAGCTTTTGTGACACTCTCAAGGTCTTTGGCTGTATTTGTATATTGGTTTGACTGATGTTCATCATAGTGTCCTTCAGGTTGAGGTTTTCCTCTTGTTGCCTCCTTTACCCTCGTGTTTTGATCCTCTGAAGTTCTCAAATTCTCACAGTTGATGGTGTTTAGGTTTGTACTTGGATGTTCTGGCATCTCTGCTGATATCTGACCAGAAGCATCATCTCCAGATTCAGGAAAGGAGCCCTCATGGATGGTTTGGAGTTTTGATGAGCAATCATGACACGTTTCCATGATGTCAGTTTTTCCAGATGGCTCCAGTTGAGACATTTCACAAGCAGGTGGTTTAAGGCTTCCAACTTTTAACATCTCATGATCGCAACATTTAAAAATGCCATTACCTTCCTGATTTTCATTGTCTTGACCTTTAGATACTACGTGATGTTTGCACACTAGACTTGCTTTATTAGCATCTGAGCTAGCTTCTGGAATGTGAATTTCTTGAGAAGCTGTCAATGATAACAAGTTTGGGATCACAGTTTCATCTGTGTGTGAGCATTCGACTTTGCCACATGTTAAAATAGTCTGTTCAGACGTTTCACAACATTGTCCTTCCACAATATTGTTTGGGTCAGCAGATTTCTGCTGTGAATCAGAGGTGGGAGGTTTATTAGTTATGTCTGTGATCTCACTTGTGACACTCATGTGCTCATGTACTAACATCTGACTGCCCACACTGACCTTCACTATTGATTCTTTATTTTCTGTGCAAGTTCCACTTTTGGGATAAGTTGGTTCAGAACAGTCAACTTTGACAGAGTGACTGTCCTTCAGCACATTTAATAAATCATTTGTTTCTTCTATTTGAGCTAATACTGGGGTAGGAAGCACAGAATGTGTCAGGCTATGGGAAGCAGATACTTTATCCTTGTTTAGTTCCTTATCATCTGGATCTCCATTGTGAGCCTGAAAATTTCCTGAAGCAGAACATTCCAATTCATCTTGATCTGCCACGTTGTCTAAAGGTAGCCTGCTATCTTGGTCACTCTTGTGCTGTGCTTTTTCATTGACCGTGTCTCCAGGCGTCAATGATTTGCACTTTGAGCCTTCACAGTTAGGTTGAGCTCCACCCTTAAACTTCTGCACTATACTCTCCATCGTTCTTGTACCATCTCTGATCCAAAGTCCCAAAGTCCAAGGCTGGTGATGACCACACTCAGGCATCGAGGCACACCTACTGCGCTGGTACCGCATATGGCAGCAGACCAAGTCTAGGTCATCATAGCTGTACTGTAATCCTGTCCGTGGGGTCACATGATCCTCCCAGCTTTTCTTACGAATAGCAACAGGCATGGCCAGATCCCTCGGCTAGCCCATAGAGCCTTATTATTACAGCCCACGGAAAGCACAAAACCAGATACAGGTCCTCCTGCAAGAGAGAGAGAGAGAGAGAGAGAGAGAGAGAGAGAGAGAGATAAAGAGAGATTTTCTTCATTGTCAAACACTTGTGATCTTCAAATGTGAGAGAAATGGAAATGATACACCTAATGAATGCTATTGACATTGAAACTCAAGTGCTCTTAAACTTGTTTAGTCTGAAGAGTCTGTTCTGTGTTATATCGAAAACTGCATTTGCAACTTAATGTGATGTCACAATCCTTTTCGAACATCATAAATACTAGATTTATTCCTGAAGAACCAAGTGCATACAAACCAACAACGAATTGTCCACGACTTTTGACACTTCTTTTTCGATACTTACAGAAAATATTATTACCAATTACAGCTACATGAAGAACAAACATTTAAAGCAGATCTCATAAACAGCTGTAGGATTGACTCGTGAAGGAAAAGAAAAATAACCAAATCACATTTACCCTCGCACCAACCGTTGAGTCAGCCAAGCATTTCACCAGACCCTCCACCCACTCAAAAGTACAGTAAGACTTCTCTACATTTTGCACAAGTCATTCTTCAGTGATTAGCCACCAAGGACTGACTTCTCTTTAAAATAAGACCGGAAGGAAAGTCTCAAGATGGAAAGAAGTGCAGTAATAAAAGACCACTGGAGGAAACCACACAGCGTGGTGAAATGGCAGGAGCTCTTATAGTCCCTAAAGTCTGATAGATCTTCTTGATGTCTATGTGAAGTCAGCGGTTAGTGGCGAGAGTTCAGAGACGGTCCTAACCAGGACATTCCTCTCACATCTGCCCAGAAGTTACTCCCTCTGTTGAACATCTGGTCATGAGGTCCAACTTTCCTTTGGCAAGCGCTTTCGAAGATTATTCATTTTCGATAAAGACAGTTATCTTGTCGTAAAGAAAGATAACCCTTAGTTGCTCACGTCACTGACATCCTGAACTTACTTTGTGCTTGTTTGGTAATGTCTCAGTATGAGCCTGCTAGAGTAACTAAATGTCTAAATTTGAATATAAACAATGAAAACATGACAGAAAGCCAGTGCAGCAGACATTTAAAATAGATTCATAAGCACACAGTCATTATTACCTGGATGCTTCTCTCCTTCTCCTCTTCCTCTGGCCTTGTGAGTGTGTCACTCCGTGTTGGTACTATCTGTCTGCGGCGATGGAGCGGCCAGTTACCCACTCGCCCCGCTGTGTGGTGAGCTCACCCTCTGACACAGCTAGCTCTGTTCTCAAGCCAGCCAGGACGTCAAGGTCATGTGTCTCCAGGGGTCAACAACTTTTCTATGGTCCCATGCGATGTTACAATCAAACACAACTGCTGCACTGAAAAAGTCTAAAGAGAAATGCCGAACAAATACATTCTGTGTTAAATAATTCTCCAAGGTGCAAAATAAATAAACAAATCCATATTTGAAGCCTCTAGACTACTTCAGGTGTGTTGATAGATCAAGTGTTCAGCTGTCAGACCGGCATGCGCTCCTCAGCAATAAGCGTCCCTAATTGGTTCTGCAACCAATTTGAGTTTTTCTTTCAATGAAGCGGTTGAAGAGATGATGCAAGAACTCCAGATGAGGGAGGAGGAAGCCATTTGTTTTGACCAATCTCCCCAGACGTCTAGAGCGATCACTGATCGTGGTCAGTTCCTGCTTGAGCTTTTTCTCCCTGGAAGAAACAAGGAGGAGGAGAAGAAAACAGAGACACGTGGAGCTTGAAACGTGGAGAGTGTGTTGTCATCTTGACGGCATTAGAGGTCTTTGCTTGGGATGACTGTTCTTTTTGTTTCTGGCAGTCTTAAGTCACTGTTTTTCCTTCTCGCTCTCTTCCTCTATCTCTTGCTTTCTCAAACTTTCTTTTTAGAAACCAGGCTCTTCACATCTCTAAAGTGCAGTTCTCCTAGAAACTGACAGTCTACTTTTTACTTTCTCTCTCTGCTTTTCTTTCCCCCCTTTCTATTTCTGTGCTGTTCGTAACATTTATCCTTCCTATAAAATCGGCATGCCACATTCCCTTTCCTCTCACTGACATTCACACACACACACACACACACACACACACACACACACACACACACACACACACACACACACACACACACACACACAGACACAGACACACACACACACACACACTTCTCTTTCCACGCCTCTGTGTGTCTGTGTATCAGTGTGTTAGCTGGCAAAAGCACTCTCCAGTTTTGATTAGAAGCAGACAGCGTACTGTGTAAAGGTTTGAGTCGGAGGGCCAAGTTAGTTTGCAGTAATGTTTTGGCACTCATTTATGTTTTTTTTTCTTTCCCAAACACTTAAACAAACCTTTTAATAATAATAATAATATTAATAATAATAACCAGTATATAATTAGTTGCAGTAGTATTACAATTATTATTATTTTACTTTTTATATTTAGCTAATGCATACAAATACTTTATAATATTGATAAAATGAATTATTATTATTATTATTATTATTATTATTATAGCCTAAATAATTTGAGGAACATTTTTCAACATATCTTGGACAGGGCCACATCAAAACTCTTTGACAGTGGCTTGCTTGTTCTTGGGCTGCTTTAAAAGAAAACAAGGTACAGTGCATTTCAGTGTGTGAGTTGGCTATTCATTGCCTAATATAGACATGTTTCTTGACAGTCACCCTCTCTCTCTCACTTTGTTGTTTAAAGGGAAAAGACCAGGGCCCGTATTTATGAAAAATCACAGTGCTAAGAGTTGCTCCTAGCGACAAAATTATAAGAAAAATATTAGAAATGTGGGTGTTTCCTCTTTAAATTAAAGAAAAGATCATAGTAAAGAAAAAGTGATTCAGAAAGCATCTTAACCCTTAAAAGAGGTCTTAAGGTCCAAAATTGTTAGGAGTATGGACGAGGACTTTTAAGAGGCTTAAGAGTTTCTTTAGCAGTGGAGAAAATGGATGAAACATGAAGAGGGAGAAGAAATGTGTTGACAATGACAATTTGGGCATGACATGCAGCGGCACCGTCTCTGTGAGATACTCACCTTCATAGTTCTTAAATAACTTATAAAGTAATTTGAAAACCTTGTGTGAGACATAATTTCACAAACAGCGTGAATCACCGCACGCTCTAACTCTTTCAAAATACGCAAATGGCTTAAAATCACCACACATCGCGTCTGTCTACAAGCGAGCTGCACGCTGCACAGTTGACACAGGAATTGTCACTTGCACATGCACAGCCGAGGCAGTGTCACATCGTCACTAAAGTTTATAAATTGCATTTCTTTTTAATTCTTGCCAGGGTTTAACCATTCAGGGCTTGCGCGCTCTCCTGGAGACAGTATGCTCATGCACACTCGCAGCACACACACATAAGGGCAGATTCATATTACTCCATTTGCAGTGCATACGTGGTGTGTATTTTTTCCGCACTCATGTTAACGGATTAAAGCGTTCACTGCACACGGTTGCGTTCCGGCAGTGCGTTTCAGGATCTGTGCTTCTGCTGCAGTGCAGAGATCGTTTCCACACCGAGTCTATTGCTGCAGTGCAAGCACTGAATTAAAGTAACAGCGCATTGTTTGCAGTAAATATGAACATGGATTGACACGAAAATGTAGTAATTACTACATAAATTCATATTATTCAAGTCTATTGTGTTTCACAGTCAACACATATGGCTTTTTGGTTAGGTTTAAAGGGAAAGAGCACTTTTAGATAAAGAAGGCAATCATAGATGGCACTCGTGGAGGTAGGAAAACAAAGTTCTTTATGAACCGCAGGATTGCTTGTAATAAAGATTTCAATGCAAAAGAAAAGACAGTAGAGCTGACTATTTCTGTCAGTGGTAAGTCTGTGATAACATAAGAAAAGTAGTTTAAATGTAGTAGTTTAAATGTTTTGCCACTTGCTTGAGCAACTTAATTTATAAATCTAGAAGTAAATGCAAAAGTAAAAAGCATTGAACAATGTGTTGCTTATATTTATTGAGTTTAAACATGTCTGTGAAAGATTGTATTACTGTACTGTGTAAAAAAAATTGCAATGCTGAAAAAGCATTTTCAGTGACAATGTTTGGATTTGAAATCAAAATAATGGATAAATGGTGTGTTTGTAGTAAACAGCCGCGGATCAGTAACGAACTCCTGTGTGAAAGCACAGTCCGTGCTGCTTGCCCTCTCACAAGAGTCACCTAAGAGGTTCCCTCCATTTTCAAAAATGAAATTCAGGCCCTGAATAAATGTATAAAAATCCTGATTGGAGTATCAAAAAAACAGTTATAAATGATAAAAAGAAGGCTTTAAAAAGATCGGTATCGGTGATCGTTATCGGCAGATACTGCTTTCTGTGATCGGCGACCGGCCTCAAAAATCCTGATCGGAGCACCCCTAACAATTTATTTATATAGCACAATTAATTACAACTTCTGTCGACCAATGTGCTTCCAGTAAATCATTAAAAACAGAAAAACACACAACAAACAAACAAACAGAAAAGTTATACAATCATACAAATATCCCATCAGCCATACGCTTTAGAAAATAAAAATGTCTTTAGCCTGGACTTAAAAATATTAAGCGAAGAAGCTTGTCTAATGGATAGTGGCAAGGCGTTCCAAAGCCTGGGGGCAGCAATACAGAAAGCACGATCTCCCCTGCACTTAAACCTCGACTTAGGGGTAGACAATAGATCCTGGTTCGAAGACCAAAGGGATCTAGTGGATTGATACATTGTGTTGCACACAATGCATGACAGTGAGTTAATAAGACACTACACATTAGATCGTGCAGGGATTATGTTTGTGACTGATCTTATTAGAGACACGCTAACATCTCAGACACCACGCAGAAATGCCATAGCGCCAGAAATTGAAGTAATCACTACATCAACTACATTAACATATTTGGCAACTGTAAAAACGCAACTATGCAGCAGTAATGATTTGGGTCTGTTCCAACCTTCTATAAGCAAAGTGATCACACAAACAATTACCTTATTGTGTCGCTGTTAATTTCCTATCAAATACGTTAAGTACGATATTAACAGCATGGTAAATAATAAATAAAGAATAGATATACATATATTATGTGTGTGTGTGTGTGTATGTGTGAGAGAGAGAGTACGGTAAAACAGGAAATTTTACGTCTGTAATTTCAAAGTGAAGGCTTATAATAGACCCTACACTTAAAAGTGCTCTTTTATTTCCTTCTTGGACAACCAACCAATCACAGTCTTCAAAAGACTGTCATACAGCGGGGTCAGTCCTGCCTCCTCACTAAGATGAAAGTTTTTGTCTTTTCCTCGCTTATAGTTGCTCTCAGATTGACTCCTACTTAGCCATTTTTAAGCTAAATTAGGAGATTTCTTAGAGGAATCTTAGAAGCTTTAAGAATACGGGCCCTGGAACCCATACAAACTAAAGGGGCTTTCACACTGACTGCCATTTGCAGTGGGTATGTGGCCGGAAATCATTCAGTTTCAGCTTGAGCACTGACAATTTGTTGGCAAACAGTAATTGTTGGTGACATGATGTGAGCGTGTGAGTAATATACTGTACAACACAGTTGAGTAAAGCTTATGCAAATGAGACGGGCAAGACAGAGTAGAAGCTAATGTTACTATTGTGATTTAATGTTAATGTTGTGTTTAAAGGGATAGTTCACCTAAAAATGAAATCTTATCATCATTTATTACTTACTGACCTTACTGTGGTTCCAGACCTGTGAGACTTTCTTTCTTTTGAAAGACTCTAGGAAATACATTTTGAAGAATGTTCTGGTTGTCAAGAATGTCAAACTGGTTTGGTTACCACTGACTTCCATTGTATGATAAATAGATAAATAAATAAATAAATAAATAAATAAATAAATAAATAACAATACTACTACTACTACTACTTCTACTACTAATAGTAATAAATAAATAATCGTGAAAGACTCTAGGAAATACATTTTGAAGAATGTTCTGGTTGTCAAGAATGTCAAACTGGTTTGGTTACCACTGACTTCCATTGTATGATAAATAAATAAATAAATAAATAAATAAATAAATAAATAAATAAATAAATAACAATACTACTACTACTACTACTTCTACTACTAATAGTAATAAATAAATAATCGTTAATCAACACACACACACACACACACACACACACACACACACACACACACACACACACACACATTTGTGTCTGTTATTTGTGGTGACTTTCC